ATGATCCAGAATTCTCCCGCACCTGGTCTGGTCCAGGCAGTCGCAGCACCAATGCCGCAATCTTCTGGGCGGCCTACCCAACCCGACAGAGCGAAGTCCCCACCCTATCCGTGCCGATTCTGTGGTGCCTGGCACTTCCACCGAGACTGCAACTTCCGCCAGCACCGATGTCAGCGTTGTGGCGGAGTGGGGCACTGTGATGGCTACTGCAATCCTACAACGCACAACGGGGCCAAATCTGGGCTGGCCCTCACTCGCAGCTCCGCACAATCCAAGGGGGTCAAACCTGGCCTGGCCCCCACCCGCAGTCAAACGAAGAGGTCACGATCCAGATGTACGCCCAAAACTGGCCCGGTTGGCAGCTCCATGAGCTTGCTCGCCACCTTCCAAGTCAACGCTGACCGCAGGAAGTTCGTCGACGTCCTGATCAATGGGCAGCCTGTTCGATTGCAGTTGGACATTACTTCGGACATCACGATCATCTCCGAGAAACTCTGGCGATCCCTTGGCAAACCACCACTCGACTAACCCTTCAATCCACCACCAGCGCCTGTGGTGGCCGCGTGCAGCTAACTGGGCAGCTGCAGTGCTCCGTCTCCTCAAGACGTCACATTCGACGGGATCTGCTACATCCCAAAAGCGAACCTCAACCTGCTTGGTCTTGTTTGGCTAGATCACCTTGGCTTGGCCGATCTACCACTTCGGGCCATTTGCAGCACCGTACAATCTCCGGCAGTACCAATTGACCAAACCGACGACATCACTAGACAGTTCGATCAAGTGTTCCAGGATGGTCTTGTCCGCTGTACACACACTCGCGCCGTTACTGCGCGCTCCCGGATCTCAACCGGTATTCCGCCCAACAAGACCGGTCCCTTACGCAGCCTTACCATTGGTCGATGCTGAACTCGAACAATTGGAAGATATGGGTGTCGTGGTACCCGCATCCTACTCTACCCGGGCAGCTCCGATCGTTGTGGTCAAGAAACCGAATGGATCCCTCCGTATCTGTGCCGATTTCTCCACTGGCCTCAATGCAGCGTTGGAGTCAAACTGCTACCCACTGCCATTTACAACCGACCTGTTCACGATGTTAAATGGTGGCACGTGCTTTGCCAAGATCGATCCGGCAGCTGCCTACCCACAGATGGAAGTTGCTCCTGAGTCGCAACCGCTTCGGACGATCAACACACACCGCGGTCTCCTCCAGTATAGCAGAATGCCGTTTGGTGTCAAGACCGCCCCAGGCATTTTCCAACAGACGATGGACGCCATGATCTCTGGCATTCCGAGTACGGCCGCGTACCTGGATGATATCCTTATTATTTGGCGCACCCAGAAGAACTGCGAGAACGTCTGGTCTCTGTATTTAAACGCATCCAGGAGTATGGATTCCGCCTGAGGGCTAATAAATGTCAATTCTTCCTTCGGTCGATCAAGTATCTCAGCGTTGTCATCAATGCCAATGGCCGTCATCCTGACCCCAAAAACGTCCGAGCCATTTAACAGATGCTGTCCCCCAAAGATGTGTCGCAACTGCGGTCCTTCCTTGGCCTCATCAACTACCACAGTATTTTCTTACCAACGCTACACCATGTACGGGCCAGGCTCAATCGACTGTTGCAAAAAGACATTCCTTGGCACTGGTCACCTGCATGCGAGAAGGCCTTCGTTCGTTTGAAATTCATGCTGAGTTCTGACTTGCTGCCGACCCATTACGAGCCAACCTTGCCAATTTCGGTTGCTGCTGACGCACCTGCCTACGGGATCGGAGCAGTTCACTCCCATCGCTTCCAAAATGGTTCCGAAAAAGCGGTTATGCACGTCTCACGTACCCTGACGCCTGCAAATAAGAACTATAGTCAGATTGAGAAGGAAGTCCTGGCCATCGTGTTTGCTGTTACCAAGTTCCAAAAGATGCTGTATGGCCGATGGGTTACGATATTGACTGATCACAAGCCACTACCTTCAATCTTCGGTTCAAAGAAGGGAATTCCTGCATACTCGGCTGGCCGACTTCAGCGTTGGGCTATCATCCGTCTTGGTTACGACTACGAAATAAGCTAATGTCGTACTCAGGGTTTCGGTCAAGCCGACGCACTTTCACCTCATTTCCAAACATATTACAGAAGAAGACACGGTGCTCGCCGCTGTTACCCTCGAGGACGATATTCGTCATCAACTCACGAACGCTATCCAAAGTCTCTCCATTAATGCCGCCGAAATACCTCGCGCAACTGCTCAATACCCTGTCCTGCAGAAAGCCGTCACTTACGTTCAGACACGCTGGCCGAACAGGGTATATTTTGGCGAACCGAAACAACTGTAGCAAAGAGGCGACTCCCTTTCCGTAGTTGATTCCTGCCTCATGACTGCAGACCGAGTAGTCGTTCCTTCATGCCTCCGACAAGCTGTACTCCACCAGCTCCATTCTGCTCACGCCGGTATGAAAAGAATGAAGGCAATCGCCCGCAGTTATGTGTACTGGCCTGGCATTGAGAACGACATTCAAGATTTGGCTCGCCTCTGCTCAGGATGTCTACAAGCATATAAGATGCCACCACACCAACCACCAGAAAAACCGTGGTCTGGAGTGCACACCGACTATGCTGGACCGATCGATGGCAGTTCCTACCTGGTCGTGGTCGACATCTATTCCAAATGGCCTGATGTGGTCGCCGTCAACCCAGCAACCGCATCCGCCATGCTGGGTTGTCTACAAAGAACCTTCAGTCGGCATGAACTTCCCAATGTCCGGCAATGGCACTCAGTTTACATCTTCCATGTTCGAAGACTTTTGTCGCCGGAATTGCATCTAACATCTACGCTCACCGCCCTATCATCCCCAGTCCAATGGTCAAGCGGAGAAGTCTGTCGACACTTTCAGCAAAAGCTCGATGTGCTTTTGCCAATCTCCGTCACCTGCGGCGCAGACGCGACATCACTCTCGCCCTGAAGGGCAGCCTTTATAACGCAGTCGTCCGTTCCATCCTCCTATATGACTGTGAAACCTGGCCCATCAGGTTGACAGACATAAGGAGGCTCGTCATATTCAACATTGCTGCCTTCGCAGCTTAGCCCATGTCTGGTGGGAGCACCGCGTGAGCAATGAGCGTGTTCGGCGTAGTGTATTTGGTGCAGGAACAGGGAGTGAATCCCTCAGCACCATTATATCACGCAACAGGCTCCGATGGCTGGGCCACGTGTTGCGCATGATAGCACACCAACTCCCGCGACGTGCATTGTTTGCGCGCCGGAAGTGCGGTTGGAAGAGGAAGAGTGGAGGCCAAGCGATGACTTGGTCGAGAGAAATAAAAACCCACATTTCGAAGTTGGCGTCGGTTGGTGCATCCCGACTGTCTGGCTGAGGTCCTAAGAACGATGAACACGTTTGGCTGCACACTTGCTGATATGGCGAAGAGCCGGCCCAAACGGCGTTTGTGTTGTGAGTTCCTTTGTCCATCCTCGTCTTGCTTAGCCTCCCCCTCCAATCACGATCTCATTTGTTAAGCATAATATAACTTGTTGCAGCACGATAGCCGTCTGTTAGCTCTCCGGAACGATGACCATCCGTTAGTGGGGACTCAACCGGCGTGCCACTGTTGTATTTTTTCTTCTTCTCTTTTGTAGTGCGGCACAATAACTCGGAGATTTTCCACACGCAGCTAACATGTATAATGATTATGATGAGTGTCAGCCAATTCAGCAACTATTTCCGCTGCGCAATCTGTCCCAGACTCAGTCACTAAAAAGGAACTCTAATGAAAACAGATAGGATAGTTATTCATGTTCATCTGAGCATAAAGTGCCCTAAAAATGAGGAAATGTAGCTGGGCTCCGAACGCACCGGCGAAAGAAGAGGAGGGTCCTCTGTACATATCGATACGGGTGCGGGCGTAGCGACACAATGAGTTCAGTCCAGTGCAGTTAAACAATCATGATTCTGCCACCGAAGTGCGGGGGACCCATTTGCTACGGCTTACACTGCCAAGATAACAATGAATAACAACCGCGGAAAAGTGAAGATTAACGCAGAGTGCAAAGGAAAAGGAGCTAAGGAAGAAATGTCAAAAAGCAAATGCAATGGAATGAATATTGACAGGTATATGAACGAAACCGAATGCAAGCATGTCACTGACTGCGCCATGTTTCCCAGAGTCTCCAACCAGTGATGTGAACTATCCCGGGAACCCGATCCATGAAGACGACATGCACCAACCCGAGCAAGTCCTTCGGTCAGTTTCTTCACGTCCTTATGTCCCGTCATCGATTGGCACCTCGAACTTTCACTCAATCAGATGCAGCCAAGGCGTATAATGCACGCCGAGGAAGCTGATGAACGGGCATAAGGAGGACATGGCCTAGCCTACGTTAACACTAGAGTGGGAAAGCAGAAGGCTTCTTGCCAAAAACTAACTGGCAGATATCAGCACTGCTCATCCGGTGTTCCAACCAGACGTGAGCAATACCCCGCAAAACAACGGTGGTCAAACACGGGCAATTGTTTAGTACGTTCAGTGTGAACTGCTCAGGTCTCCGATCCACACTGCAATACCGGCCTTACCGCAATAGTATACACCCTACCTTGATGCCTTAAAACAGTAACGAAATGGCGAATGAGGAAGAGGAATGAGGAAGGGGAATATAGTGTAACACTTACATATCTACAACAAACATTCAGCATCGAGGCGCCTACATTAACAACATGCGGTCACAAACAGTTGGGTAATGTGAGAGAAGATTGGGTAGCATCGGCATGACAACTCCATTGAACGGAAGGCGGTCCATGCAAACTATCGGTAGTCGTGGGGCACTAAACCACAAATCATGCCACAGGATATATATGACTACGCACATTCAACAATTATAAGGTCATAGATAAAAAGCTGATGTGGGTCTAAACTGGCCCCCAGATAAATGAATACTGTGAAGAAGTTCCCATCACATGTACCATAGGGCAGTTATGACGGTGGCGGAGAGGAGCACGAACGGTGTCTTACCTGTTCCGGACTCATGTACAGATCCGTTCCGACATAAGCAGTGTGTCTTCGCAAGTAACGGGAATAGCGATAATTGATTTTGCAGTCTCCCGAACTATCAGCTGTCCCTGAATCGCTGCCCCGTTTTGGCTCACAGAAGCCATTGAGAGTCGAGTATTCGTACCGGATCTTGTCTGCGTCCGGAGCCCCACCACCATTATCCATTTCGTTCGTGGTGGATGAAGGCCGTCGCAGCTCTTCGTCAAATATGGATGTGACTAAGCCAAAATCAGCAAGTTTCAGGCGATGTGTCAGATCAAACAGTATGTTTGACGGCTTCAAATCCCTATGCATCAGAGCGTGATCGTGCAGATAGGAGACGGCTTCCACAATTTGGCGGAACAGTTGTAGTAACTCTATCAATGGAGGTCGCAACTCGGGCGAGTTGTGTTTGACAAGCCAATCACGAAGACTCACCGGAGAACACAATTGCATCTGTATGTACAGGTAGGATACTCGAGGGAAATCCGATGGAGGTGCTGATGTCATTTTATCGGAAGTCGTGTGCACACAGCTAGTGTCTGCGCCCTTAGATGACAACGGCTGATCACATTCATCAGCTTGAAAAACAATGAAGCTATCTTGCGCCAGTTGGCCGTTTGGGTGGGACGGATTAGAATGAGAAAAACTCGAATTCCTGTAAAGATGAAACAAAGACGAAGGTGGATGAGACGACTGGAAAAGGCGATTTGATAAAGTGAAACAATAGGGTGTTCATGTGGATCTATGGCAGTAGCACATCATAATTGAAGCACGATTAACTTCGGGTACTAGTCGGATTAAAGATGTACACAAACCAAGCATAAGGGTAATTAATGTGCGACATCTGTGAGAGTGCATGAATGCAACAAAGAAGACTAGGACAGTTTAGCGATTAACTAGCCACCGTGCAGACCACCGAAGCGAAACGAGTGAACCAAAGTGGGGGAAAGAAGTGTTCCTCACTCGTGAAGAGCAGTGAAGCTGGGAACGTGAAAAGAGGGTCCACAAACAGTTAACACTGGCTGAAAACGCGGTTGCCATTAGGTGTGAGAAGCCGGACGCTAAATGCGAACCTGCCACACTGCACCGATGTACTTCCGTGGCGCAGAGAAATTTGCCGGCAGTCGTAAATCAGCATGGAACAGGAATGTCCGTTCAGGCAGAAAGCAAAGCACGATTTAATGAAATGAGTTATCGGAGATAATAATACGGAAGATATGGGAATTGACGGCCAAGAAAACGTGTGTGTGTCGTATTCACAAATGCTTCGCAGGCACTAAACGCAAATCCGAGGACGGCGAATCCGAGTAGCAGTGAGCAGAAATGAGTACACGTGAAGTGAAGATCCCGTCCAGGTGAACTGTCTACTACTTAAGACAGCCACGCAAAAACAGTATGTACGCCCGAAACGCTGCAGTCGTCATCTAGGTCCGAGGAGAAGCTTTAAAATACTAACACGAAACATGATGTAATCCAGAAAATGAGATAACGCTGGGTGAAGGGTTTCAATACTAATAAATGAACCACTAGCGCTCACTGAAGCGGGTTGGAAGTTGTACGCGGACTATAGGAAACACAATAGCATGTGCCTGATGAGCCCAAATAAAGACTAGATCTATCGTTAGTTGAAGTGTTGGAATAAATTTCTCCATTGCGGATACGTTCCCAGTGATAGTACTGGCCGTGGTCACAAATGATATTGTGTATGACAATCTAAACGAACAGTGGTTGCTACAAGACTCAACATGAAAATAACAGCTGTTTATTGGAGACACGGGAAACAAAAAAGACGAAGTCAGAGTAGGTAGGTTTGAGGCGATCGCAATTAAGACAACAGGAAACGTTCTGTGATCGGTCCAATACGCTTTGATTAGCGCAACTAACAGGATGCGTAAAGCGGCATAGAGAAGTGATAAAGTATGGTTGATGATATGTGCGCAAATTTACCATAAGCTAGTTCAGTCTCGTTATCAATCGTGCAAGGTTACTGATATGTTGAGTTTCCTAATGTGGAATGGTGTGTAATATTGACTGAAAGACCACTGATAAAGCAATACAGTGCAGAAAACTCAAAAAAAGCCAAACCGCAGCTCATTCATATGAAACCTGTCGCCCCCACTTATCTATGACCGTGCGTGGACAGGTGAAACGAAATGGTCTACACCGGCGATGGAGGAGATTGCCTAAAATTGACTTCGGGAACATAATGATGGTAATCGAAAACGCCGAGGATGCAGTACCGAAGGTGTAGGGGCTCATATTCTGTGTGGTTCAGTTGAAAGTGTTGTCGAAAGCGGAGGCGTCGTCACTGCGCGGATACAGTTTGAAATGTACAAACAGCTGTCAGCATAACCGTGGATAGTTGACCAATGGATACCGCCTCATTCATAGCCAATTGGATTGAGTTGGGAGTTGGATTGCGACCCTGCTGTGGATCTCATACGACTCACTTTTCCTATAGCTTCAAACTAAACCGTTGCTGGAACTTCGGTTGTTAAGAAGCGTAAGGCTCGAAAGGATATAGTGTACCTTCGACCAAAAAAGCACACAAACCGGTTGCTTTTAAAACCGTATAAATATTGGTGAACATGGTGCAAAAATTGGTCGCACCATTATATGCACAATAGACTATTCCTGGAAAAACCCCTTGTATATACAGGCCATGCCTAAATATTCATGATGACTCAACGCCCTTATTTTGATAGGACTGGGGGATTGATGCACTTCGGCTGGGCAACACATGACTGCGCATGTGTTACGGACTGGCAAAAATGCACCAGTAACTAATTATCCCGATGCACGAATTATGCAAATCATAACGATAGGAGGTTTGAAACCAAACAAACTATCATCATGCATCAATTTACATGTTAGCCAGAGGTGGGAAACACCTCAGCCACTTTGCCGCAATACAATCCAATCAAACGTGGTGAGTTACTGGATCGAAATGTCTAATCGATGGGGTACGTGATTGGTCTCATCAAACGGGGTTGGCGAGATTACAGGCGACTCTCTTTGTGTAGTTCTTACGCGTCAGTTCTAGTACTCTTATCTGTAGTAGTACTAACCTAATGAAGAGGCAATAAATACAGACTTGTTCCCTAGCTCTAGCTTCTGGTATTTCCTTAAGGAATTGCTTCTCAACAAGCAAATCATTGGGGACGTCCAAAAAGACCTTGGACTGACATAGCTATAATTTTTAGTAGATAATTAATTTGATCCATTGTGAGATCATACGAGGGGTGTCCGAAAAGGAACCGAACTTTAACCATAACACCTTTATTGCTCATTGCACAACACTTTAGGCCCTTTCTTCATCAAAGTGGTCTCTCGATTGACCATAAACGATTTTAAACAGCACTCCCATTTTTGGAAAGTCTCCTGGAACGCACTTTCTGGGATGGCGCGCAGGTCTCTTGTCGCATAGTCCTGAATCTCCTCTATGGTTTGGAAACGACATCCTTACAACGTGGTTTTAAGTTTGGGAAACAAAAAAAGTCTGTAGAGGCTAGGTCGGCAGCGTGATATTTCGCTAGATAGCTGCGGACAAGGAGCGATGCGTGAGCCGGTAGCTTGTCATATTGCAACATCCAAGTCTGGTTTTCCAACAGCTCAGGCCTCTTCTTGCGCACAGCATCCCTCCAACACCCCAGACATTGATGGCATGATCCTACGCTGATGCCAATTTCGTCAGGAAACTCCCGAACAGTTAAGCGGCGACTTCCAAGAATCACTGCACGAACTCTCGAGACATATTCATCGTTTGTTGATGTGGAAGGTCGTCCAGGCTTGGGATCGTTCCCGGCCGACATTCTGCCGTGTTCAAAACACTTAAACCACTTATAGCACTGTGTGCGACTCATACAGTCCTCCCCGTATGCTTGGCTAAGCAAATGAAATGTCTCTGTAAAGCTTTTGCCAAATTTATAGCAAAATTTCACACACATACATCGTTCTTAAATCTCTTTCTTTGTCTCTTAGGCACTAATCTGACGAACAGCTTGCGCAGGTGCTCATTTCACGGACCGTAGCTACCCAACCAACAGTCAGAGCAATATGCGGCAAATGGCCCGTAGCCTAGAGGTAACGAGCTTGTTTTATAATCTTGCGGCGCGAGTTAGAGTCCGTGTACAGGTGGGCGTCCTCGCGGTATACTCCGCCCGCGTGTGACTAGTGAGGGTCGCACGGCAGCGAAGCGCCGTTACGGCGTACAGCTGACACATTATTTATTTATTATTATTGTTATTATTATTATTATTATTATTATTATTCTTAATGGCAGCTTGTTGTCTAAGCAAACCTACACATGCGCTCAGCAGTCTCAGCACAATTCCACTGGCGGTTGCCTCGCTAGTTCAAAAGTTCGGTTTTTTTAACACCCCGCGTATGTAAGAGTTTAAGCATATCAGTGTTTCTAGTATTCCTAGACATCCACTTTGCGGATTAGATATATAGGAAGCACATCGTACCCGAATAAGATATGGTGCAGCTGTAACATCTGTAAAAGCGCAGGAATCAGTGACGTGTTTCCGCGCACGTGACCGATCTAACGACGATGTAGCAACGCAGATGTGTATCTTCTAGCCCTCTAACTTCAGAAATCAAACAGAAGCGGATAAATTGAAGATGTTCTCCTGGCTGAACTAAGTCTTGTCGACAGGGAAAAAGCAACCCTCTGTGATTGTGTAGGAGTGATCTTGGAGACGAATGTCTATCGAAGTAGAATGATGGCAAGCAAAAAAGTTGTGCAGTGTGGAAAAACATAAGAGGAGAGAATGAAAAGATGCGGAGGTCTATTCACTATGTCGATGCGGAAAATAGGGTGCCGTTGATTTTCCTCTGCGACAATCAGTGCATCAAGAAATTGTTTGAAGCTGTCATTGTATTGCAGGACACTGTCAAGTTGAACAGGCGTGGACAGGAGAACGATTAGAGCTCTCAATCAAAGCTTTTGGTTTAAAAACCAGACCGCAAAAAAGAGTTGGCCGGTGGGGCACATGGAGCGTGTTTTAAGGAATAAGAAGCGACTCCCATTCCAACCCCTGTCTGGAAGACCAGGAAGCTGCGGGAGTCTAGCCACTAATCATCGATCAATCGGGGATGTGTGGCTCTAAAGGTGAAAAAAGCAACTTTCCAGTACAGCTCAGTAGATCGCTGAGGCACGCAAACAATCGCATAATGTTAAGGTCCAATCGCATTATGAATGAGTGTATTATTATGGAGCATTTAAAAAGAGCTAACTTGGGTTAAATCCAATAGAGATGTTTGGGTTACTGTTGTGACCTCCAGTAAACTGCCAGACTATTATTTACACAACAGACACTCACTCGGAATTCCTAAGTGACGTTTGTTTTTCGCACTTCCACGGCGACAAACTCACGGATGATTGGAAGCCAAGCAGCCCATTCGGCTTCACAGAAGACCCAGTGCAACCTGTGTCGGCCTCAGTGTCCTCATCGGATTCCCCGAACATTATGCGATCGCGAGATTGCTGCCATCCAGCCGGAGGACATTCGCACCAAGCTCGATGGTAGCGAACAATGCCCGGATGGTCCAAAGACGCCAACGCTGAAACGAACAACGAGTTAGATTAAGAAAAAGTACAAAAAGTGAGAATAGGAGTATTGAAACCGAACGACAACGCGGACCTGGATCAGAAACGCGATGTGTGGGGTGATCGATCGCCAATCTTTTTATGACCTCAAGGTAGTGAGCGCATGTGTGTGGCAAAACTGAGATCCCTTATGATTGTCTACATGGCGTAAACACCAGGTGAACAAACGGAGAATGTCACCATCATCTACTTCATACGGAGAACCAAAAAGGGTAATAACAATCATAATACGTATAATATGCATATATCATAAGCATGTGAGACATTGATCCTGTGAGAGGGATAGAGCAGTGTGCACAGCTATGATTAGGTACTCGAATCAGCAGAATGCGGTATTTCTGGGGAGTGTATATTGGGCAAATTATGAGACATATGCTTACTGTTTGTGTCAGCTTTCTCAATGGGTAACCTTGTGTTTTCATTGGTTACATCATATTTGTCTTATCGTAGAAGAAATTGTCAGGCGACTTTTAAAGGGGAAAATATAGTTATGGTTTAGTTCAGTTCGATGGGGGTTTTAAATTTGCAGTTAGATGTTCTCGGGGTTAAATGGGGTCTGATTGTAGTTAGTTGGCCACTTCACAAGATGGTGTATCTGATTAGCTAGAAATTGAAATGAATAGCTGGGGTGGGTCCCGCTAAAATTAGCGCACAACCTTTGTTGCGAATTCTCCTAGTGAAACTACAGTGCAATTCAAAGGATTGACAGATCGCAGCCGTTGAAAACAAAGATTAGTAATTGAATATCTGATAACACTGCTGATGGTTCAAAGAGGACGCCTTAACAAACAGGTGTTTAGTGAAGGATGTCTGTCAGTTTGCTGGGTATTTCTGTGACAAAGCTGCATGTTCCCATTAATAGTGTTGCAGATAAGATGAGAAGGGATTTTGAAAAGTTCGAGTTCGCCACTCACAGTATTGATTAAATGAGTGACGTTAACAATAGACCAGCTAGCTCACGCTGGCTGCGATATGGCCTGTTCGGAAAAGCGCAAAGCTAAAAGTTGAATTCCGTGATTAAAAGTGGACAGCTGCACAGAGTTGTGATTAGTATTAGACGTGACGGGCCCATCAAAGATCGAAAGCCATGGGATGTAGGGCTTGACTGGTTACCTTTAAACGTCATAAATAATGTACTACAATGTTTCCAAAGAACATAGATATCCTCTTCGTATGTACTTGGAAGTTCGTCCCATCGAAGCTCAAATAAATGTAATGTTATCGGCGAATACACATGACCGCCGCGTTTGACAGAATGAAGTCGCGGGGACATAATGTAGTGGTCCGGAAAAACCAAGAATGATTCCCAGGAGGACATCACTAGCAATTGAACATGAGGAAGATTAGTGGTCGCTTAGAATGACCACCTGAGGGTGCCCAATCAAATATGGCGGTAGCCAACTCAATGTCGGATCCTAAATCCCAAATAGCGACAAATATTTTAGTAATCGCTGGTAGAGTACCTGGCGTCACACAGCATAAGAAGAAGAGTTGGGTATATTCTTGCAGATTACTGTAAGCAACAGGATGGGCCGGTACAATATATCAACAGTGGCTTTATCAAACTAAAAAAATGGAAGAACAACGTGGTGAATACGCGTATCTTATTACCAGAGGAAGTTGCCAACCGCAAATGTCCGTGATAAAAGCGAGGCCAGCGCCAACAATCACGTAGGCGACGTCAATAGACGCAACGGTCATTGTGTCAGACTAGATGTGCAAGGTGGCTGGAGTTAGAAACATTGACACTTGTTTAAACCTAAGTAAACTTGAAGAGGAAGTCTTGTGGTAACAGGTAATAATTGTGAGGCAAAAGATTCCGCTGTCGCGAACGCTAGTGAGAACCGGGAGGTACTGCACCCAGGATGCCTGTGGGGGCTTGGCGAACGCATGCGAACACAAAATGCAGACGGTTAAATGCTACGTCAAACAAGAGGGACAAACAATAACAGCACTAAGTGTTGGTATTCCCAGTGTAGGCTATGGCCCATGACTCGGGAACTGCGAACTGACGCATCCCAGTTGAGTGTTGGTATTACACAAACCGGAAAATGGGACGTGGAAGATCCATCTGACCTACGGGACTAAACGAATGGTGCGTTACTAGAATGTGATACCAATCCTACACTGAGGTACTAAACCATCAGCACCATAGGACATCGGTTACCTAGAACAGCTTCAATAAAAGTGTTAGTGACAGAATACGCAGAGCAGTTAGCAGGGCAAAATTTATGATAACGAGATGATCCGCAAGATTTACGGGGAAATGACCGTACATTGCTATCATGATATATCAGACAGTTAGGTTATGTCAACTGGAAAAGATCCGAGTGACCTGATCACGAAGATACTTAGCAGGGGACGACGGATGTAAATGAACACAAGTTCGAGTTCGTCATCTACATGATGTTGCAACACGCGTGACTGAGTGTGCCTCAAGCGAACAGGCCTGACAAACCATCAACAAGTAGACACAGGGAACCTACGCCGAAAAATCGATGGAGAATTCGGTTGGGTTAGGGTTAGTGTACATAAGAGATGTTATCTCCGGCATGGTTTACCAACTACCCTGCAATGCGGCTGATGTGGCACATGTGGTGTCCATATGTGGGTACACCGAGCGTGTTGTCACGTGCCAACTGCATATTACTGGTTGGTATTACGGTAGTGGCTAAACGTGATGATAGCTGCTGATAAGGTGCCGAATCGAACGATGCTGTCAGCTAGATTACGGACTCCGAGAGATTGCCCGCCATTGTTAAGGCAGAAGGGTTGTACGATGTTCAGATTCGTGTTGGACTCAAAGAGTAATGCGATCATGGAAAGGGTTATTGCCAGGCAGCCGTGAGCATGTTCCTGACGTTTTGGATCAACCACTTGTGCGCCGTAAGCAGGTGAAACTGCTCCGATTCGATCATGGTTCCAGCCCACATATCTCCCGGTTTTATTTGCAAGAGTTTAACATTGGGTATGGAGTGCGTGAATGAAGCTGTGGATGGCGCAGCGCAAAGCACCCCCTAGTCCAGTAGTAAACGCAGGTGTCCATAATGCAGGACAGGTTCGGAAACAAATATCGTTAGACAATAGGGGAGAAAATTAGTGTGAGCTGATACAGAACAGTAGGTAGTGAAGAATCATCAACGTCCGAATGGTACAGTTAATGAGAACGGGGAGTGAAAAGTAAGTCAGTTGAAACAATGTACTGAAGAGGACTGACCTTTGACCTCGCGTAAAAATTTATTCCCATTTTTTGTCCTTTCATCGATTTCAATACGCTTGATGGCATAACGGCAACCGTCGAAACGGTTCTCCGCTTCGAACACACGACCAAAACCACCACGACCGAGACACCGCACAAATTTGAATTCATTTTCATATGTTGAATTGAATTCCGGTATGGACTGGGTACCACAAGAGGTGGATGTGTGACGAGTGCGTACAACACGTTCTTCTGGTTGGGATTCGGATGCCGAATTGTTGGCAGTGGAGCACATTGTACAAGATGCTACACAATCCGAACATCCATTCTCCGGAATGGAAGTGGAATCAATAACAACAGGAGGATGAGATGGTCTGGACGAAGTGGAAGCCACAAGAGAAGGAAAGCAGGTTAAGATACATTCACCTGGGTCACGAAGAGAGCAGAGTGAAGTCGACAAGACACAAAAGAGATGAAAAGCAGACTCCATTGTGACCACTTTATAAACGAAGAGAAGACAAAAACTGCGATATATTAACGTTTCGATAGATCTCGGTCGTGGAGGCAAAACGTACATGAGATAAACACACCTACATATGTGGAACATACATGAACTAAGTGGGAAAGCATGCTGTCAGGACAAACCCAATCTAATGGATAGCCTGAGATGTTTCTGAGCGCATAGCGCTGGACGATTCTCCATGGATAGTAGTGCTTTGATAATTTTGATCCTTGGTGGAATCGTGTCGTACAGGGATATTCTCTATGCGTTCGATTGGTCGAGGTAATGCCAGGTCTTCACGAGATTCTTTGTGATGGTTGTAGCAAGGTTCCGGTGCATCATGTGATCCAGGGCGTCTTGTTGCATCAATAAATGTCCGAACCAAAAGGAGAGCTGTCCAGTCATCCATGAGTTGGTCAGTCAGTACTTTCAATCTAAATGTCGCCGTAACTGCGGGTGAACTGGTAGATAACACATGAGGGCAGGTTGCCTGGCGAGCTGCTCGGATGGCTATGGAAAACTTTCATGTAGAAAGATACCTTGTTGTTTCATTCTGTGTAATAACAATAATTGAGACATTCAAAGTAAATGAAGATAGTATTCCTCATTGCACTGGCCATCGTAAAGCGAGCTGGAGCAGACAATACAACCATTTTCCAAACTGTGTTCCAGCTGCATAAAAACGAGCAAGTGAGGAAACTCTTATAAATCCTGACGAATGTATAGCACGGAGACGCTAAAGATAGAAGAGCTCTTGCACATGACTCTGGTTTCTAATGAATGTCCGCGGAAGTTCACGCAGACGCACCACAGGCCATTTAAATTGATCTTCGGTGCACACAGAAGAGAAGAAAGGTGTTTACTTGTTCCTGCCATGCAATAGTAATCATGTCGTAAACAAAATGGCACAGAAATACAGCGGCAGCAACGCAGTCGCTAAATTGCGATTTGATCACATCACATAAAGACTAGTTTTTCATGACAATCTGAGCAACCGACCAAGTAGTCTAGCCTCTCGCGTTATCCACTAGTTCGCTCGCGATTGCGGTAACACTTAGATTGACAGAACTGATCGTTGACTGACTCAAGGATAGCTACCCATTTACCATGTTGGTTAAGGCAGTCAGTGATGCAACAAGGCGGCCTGGATCATATGGTGAACCGGAGACTTGCTTCATCCATCACAAAGTATCTCGTGACGTCCTGTCATCACGTGGACCCGTCGAACATGTATAGGGAATATTCCTGTATTACAGGATTGCACATACGAAGACAATTAGCGAAGTGCTGATATTCATGAAAAATCATTCAGCGTTGTGTGCTTAGAAACAATTCATGTAGCCGATTAGATTACTTGACGCCAAAAACGCGTGATCCAACTTAGTTCACGTATGTCTGTTCCAATATGGTGTTTATGTCCGTAAATGTTGGGTCCATGACTGAGGTCGATGGAAATGTAGATGAATCGCAAGCTGTCTTCGCGCCGCGTTGCATAGACGGTATTGGGATGGTCCGTAAATAGCACTAGCAGATCCCTTAATCACTTCAACGAGACTCGCAAATATATCCGCCATTCGGACACCTCAAGCGTTCATTTCTTCACGAGTCATCGGAAATGAGTGCAATAGGTGCTTAGTTGATGTACTGTGGCATCTGAGGCCGCAATTCGGATCCACACTGATGTTTAGTGAGTACTTGATAACTGGAATTGGACTACTAAGGGGACAGCATACGTGCAGCTGTTTACTGAATTCCACATTACGGCCCAATGAGAGACTGTGTGGTGTATTCCACTCGCAAAATGGGCGGCTCCAACTAGCAAACAAATATGAGGACTCTTTATGCATGTTTGGTGATGGGGACCCCGGAACCGTACATGTCTAGGTTGGTTAACTCGGTATCGTTTGGGACGTAGACTAGGTAAGCATAGTCACTGGAAACAGGATCCGAGGGACCCATATGGGTTGGAACGCTGTGGTCTCGTATGCGGACTGCCAAGATGATCTATACACCAGTAACCCAACTGACTTCAAAATGAGGATAATAGTCGACTGTTGATGTAGCAGATGCGCTCTATGAAAGCTGAAAGGCCGGTATGAAATAACACCTGATTATCTCGTTAGTGTAGTTAGAGATGATTGGATGCTAGTAAATCTCGCAAGGGGAGATCTGCGAAGGTCTGTGAAAGATGATGACAACGTGAACAGATACTTGTCTACGGCGGCAATTCAAATTGAGGTGCTTTATTCCAGCATGCTCAGTTCGAGCAACTGATTGGACAAACCGAAGCAAGAGGCAGCGTGAAGCGAAGCCAGCTCTCAGTGGTTCAAGTCATGAACCCCAAACGGACCAGTTTGAAACTGATTGCATGTGGCAGTCGAAAAAAAAGAATAGGGCACGGTTGTTTATCGACCGCATATTTGCACTTTATCGGCCACGGGCTATCTGTGGTTTTTTAAGGCTGTGTATGGAGAGAATACAGCAATCAGTAACAACGAAATTATATGCTGGCATAACTAGATACCAACCTGCGGTATAAATGAGCCAATATCGGCGGAAACGAATGTGTAAACTAACGCACTACGGTTAAGTTCAGTCACCTTTAAGGGGGAATAGAGTCCCGGCCGATGAAATAGAAGCAAATATAAGGAAGGACAAGAATAAAAGAACCTAAGGTGCTCCAATAGAGACTGAAAAGTCAACGAGTGCGTATGAATGGTCTCAGCTTCTTGGCTTAATAGGTCATTTGTATTCGACATAAGGTGATTCAAAATGCGACCTAAGGATGCTCAGCGCGATTGAAGTGATCCTTAGTAGCCCATAAGTCAAAAAATGGTGCGAACGTAGTCTCGTTGTGTAGGTTATCAAAAAACCGCGAAGGCAACCGGTAGTTGAACATGCGGAACAGGTCAAGGCAGGAACATCTGAGTGAGTGATAGCTGTAGTCTATGCTGCAGTGAGGAGCTGCATGCGCTGTGCATTAATTGGAATCAGCCGCTCGATGACGGTTCACGACTGAACGGGATGGAAGCCGAGGATTGTGTCCCAAGTGGGAGAGTGACGACGGTGCACAAAAGGATAAAAAGAGAGGGAAACTAACGGCAGACTGATGGTTAAATAAGTGGTACAGATAACAATACGATGTGTTAAAAAAAGTACCATCATATGAAGGTATTCGTGGAGGAAATTTTCTAATAAACAAAACAGAACGCGCATTCTGGAACGTACCTTTGAACAATCTGCCGATTTAGTACCCGAAACGCACGACCAACAATCCAAATCCAAAAGGCAAGAAGAGTTATATTGAAGATGTGAAGATAGTTGTGGTATGGAGATGGTGGATAAAGCTTAGACGCTTCATGAGGCATTTGAGTTGTTAATCCGTCGGCATGGAAAAGAAGCATGAGCAATTCGTTGGCAGTGTTGATCATCCAACCAGAAACTTCGTTGTGCTCAGGAGATATTATGGGTGTTTCTGAGTGGCGGAAGTTTGGTGGATCCATAAGGGGAGCGATTTTGTTGTAATGAACACCATTGGGTGACCAAGGGACCAGACCAGTTTGCGATCCGACTCGTTCACTTGGCGCCGCGTCCGCAAAGAGTGGTTGTTTGCACACGGAACTGGTGGAATCCGATTCGCAGGAAGCGTGATAGTAACCTACCAGATCGCGTATAGAGGGATTAGACTCTGGACCACTTTCGGAAGTAGAGGGAAGATCTACAGACTTGGAAGAAATCACGGGCACATTGAAAAATTCCATATGCGCTGTCGACTGCCCTTCAAAGTCATCTTCCAGCTAAGCAGAAACGGGGAGAAGTAGAACGTAGACTAGCAATGTACCGTAAAAGATGGCACCAAAGTATAAATTAATACATATATGACTAAAATCAAGGAGAAACACTCGTCTGCAGTGTCTAACGCAACTTGCTTGGGTGGAGACAGAAGGACGTAGATCAATTGTCAACGCAAGGTCACCCCTATGCGGGAGGTTGAGGAAATGAAGGTGCTCCCAAGCACATTTAAAACTGCGTCATATTTTTTTTCTCGTCCCCCTGCGGTTGTATTCCTACTCAACATTAACACATTAGTCCTACAATCAGCACCTTAACATTCTTCCGAGTGAACACTAGAAATGCCTATTAACAATGTGAAAAGGAGAAGCTCACTCCTTAGGCTGAAGTTAAAAACAGAAAAGACTATAAAACCCACTGATACCACTACTATAAATCCACCCGTTATTACTGTAAGAAGGAGACATCCGTCATCTAAATTCCAAAAAATAAATTGGATGTACCTGAGAACCACTCCAACTACCACAATTCCGACTGAAACGACAGACCGGATTATACCCCTTGAAGAAAATGAATCCACACTGAAATGTAAACTCCATGAATTCAGCACATAGTATGAACAAGTCCTATCATTCTATGAAGTTCTTAAAGGTTCAGCAACTGTTACACTGGACCGATTGTGTACAGCTGCTTCCTTACTAGACTCAGTTGCATCCGAAACGAAAAAAACGCCTCCGTAGATCGCATAATGTTATCATTTTTAACGTGTCTGATAAACCGAACATCGATCGGATAACAAATACCCACTTAAAAGTATGCAATATGGATGGAGTCTACTGTCAATGTCTCAGGTTGAGGAAAAAGGAAAACATGACCACATGTCCGATATTCCTACAGTTTACAGACGATAGGAGCGCACCCAAATTCGTACGCAGTAAAAGACTAGTTGTCGCACAAACTAATTCCAATAACGTTAAGTTCAAACACGATCAAACGCTTCTTCAAAGGCGACTAACAATGAACCAAAATTCCTCCGCCCATCGTACACCCCATGTTACTACTATTGAAGCCAGTACTGACGCCGTCATCAGCAACGTTGACCTTGATATGTCAACCGCGTCGTCTAAAATAGGCGATGACGAGCATCTCAGTCTTCAGCGACCTCATGAGAGATTCTCAAACAGCAGTAGTGATGTGTCCATATCTAAAACTGTCAATCAAGCTGAAAATATAACGACGCAGACAACTGCTGACCACACACCCAACTCCTTTGTCCCTTCTCCAAGCCACAAGCCTTTACAAAAGTTGACAGTAACTGTACCTGAGACCTAACAAGAGCGAGACAAAAACTCAGATCGTCACGTTGGCAACACGAAAAACAAATCTAAATCCGACCCGAATGAAGCAAGCTATGGCTTATCTCCGACCAGCCGAGAAGTAGGCAAAACAGGGGAAAAGACCCAGCCATAATTTCTCCGATTAACACTTAAAGCTCAGTAGATCTGAAGAGACCACTACAAGAACGTAGTGATTTGCAGCTAGGCCAACTGAGAAAAAGTGTATGTCTTCAAGCTTCCACATGCAACACCAACACTGTTGTCGGGATAAGTCGCAAAGAGCCGGCCCAATAGTTACCCACAATGTCGTTGACTACGATTCCAAATCCCGCAACCTCAAGCTGGCAAAACCCTTATATGTGAGACACCGAAATAGCAAAAAATGTGGTGGTAGGCCACACGGACTTACAGGTAAGAGGGTGCAATCCATATCCACCTCAAGTCAAATTTCTACCACCACTACCCACTGTAGTACTCAATGGCAACAATACAATCCGAAGAAAAGCGATTTTGTAGACTACAGCATTCCCCCACCCCTGTATACTACAGATGTAAGTCCTTTTGTAGACTACCGTATATCACGACATCCTCCCCTACCAATCCAGCCGCTATCGCGTGCCATTATGAATCAGAGAATAATCAAACTACTGGAGTATGTACTTCATTCAATTCAGAACGATGGAGACCTCAGTGTGCCTCAGCTACCTCACAACACAGTTCTTAGATACAATGACGAAGAAACAAACATTACCCACCTCTTTTATTCCAATTTAACAATCTCTTTCAAATCTGTCGTTCTCTTTTACCTAAATTAGATCTACTTTCGACACTTATAATTATGAGATCCCCCGATATTGCTTTGAACACTGAAACTTGGTGCGTGTTAGAAATTAGTGATTCTCAGCTTAGGCTATAAACTTTTACGCAAGGATCGCTCGCACAAACGTTAAGGTGACTGTAATTCCCGCAGATCAACTTGTGCTAAATGACTTAGAAGATATATTATGGCTAGCGATTCCATCTACTGGTCATCTAGTGGGTTTTATCTATCGGCCGCCTCGAAGCACTCAATGTGAAACCCTAAAGCTAATCGATCTGGTCAATGCTGCTTCCAAAACCACATCCAAATCCAAAATTATGTGTGGAGATTTCAACCTACCACATGTTAACTGGATGCTGCCTACACTCAGAAACACTGCGGAGATTGAGGAAATCATCTCGTGTATTCACCTCAATGGCTGGACTCAGCATATTAGAAAGCCAACCAGAAGTGTCACTGCCCTAGACCTTGTATTTACGATGGGAATCGCTTACGCTCATACATTCATTGATAATCCACTACCTGGCTGTGATCACAACACGATGCATTGTGATATGACTACTGATTCACTTAAACCATCAATTAAAATGTTAACACACATTCGCAACCTCCATCGTGTGGAATGGAACTCATTTAATTAACTTATCAGTACCATGAATTGGAATACATCATTCCTAACTCACAACCCTGCTGTGGCTACAAATGAATGTATTAACAATAGTGCCATTGGTGTGGATCTACTGGCACCTATCGTATGGAAAAATACCTATGAACATAGTACTGAACTCAAGCTTCTGCACAAAGTCACAACAAAACCAAAAAACCTTAAACCGCTATATCGCAGGAACAACAGCTTTCGCAAGATTGCCACAAATACAAGAGAATCTGCTACACCTAGAATGTGTAACCCAAATAGCCAAAATCAAAGAAGAAAGTTGAGTACTTAGAATTTCTGAGAAAGTATGAACATTGATGCAACTACCCAAAAGAAGGAACCCTAAACCAAATCGGAAAATTGAAACGTTGGCTCTAGATGATGACCCAATAACGCGCGACATCTCCAGTATATGCGAAGCTATCAACTCTAGTTTTGCCTCCTGTATTGTCCCCAACATTCAGCCGGTTTATCCTAAACTTCCAAAAAGAACGACCGAGCTATGCTGTAATATCCCTGTGACGTGGAAAGAGGTGTAAAGTGCTATCGTATCCATAAAACAATCAACTCGTCCATGCCCAGATGGCATCTCCCCAACCGTCATAAAACTCAAAGGAAAAAACCTCGCACTACTGTTATTAAACATCTTCACACTTTCTCTCACGACCGGATAGTTTCCAACTCAATGGAAGCAATCCATTATAATGCCTAAGTACAAAGGTGGCCCGAGAAATAGTGTCAAGCTACCGCCCGATAGATCACACCTCTGCTACATCCAAAGACTTAGAGAGAACAATCAAGAAGAACATCGTTTAATATCTTACAAGACTGGATCTGATCAATCACAAGATGGTTTAGTCTCAAAACGCTCCTGCGTTATCTGCCAGCTACAATTTCTCGATCATGTCACTACAGAGGAATGGCAATCATTATAATTCTGTTGGACATGCAAAAGGTGTTCGACCCGCGTGCCATACAAGCCATTGCCGTTTGCTCTAAAGTCATACGGAATTGGAAATACTCTGCTAAACTGGTTCGACTCATACCTAAACGGTAGAAGTCAGGTAGTTAGAATCGGTCAGCAATATTCTACACCGAAACAAATAACCAGCGGCGACTTGCAGGGGAGTGTGCTCGGACAACTAGTTTTCTTGATCTACCTAAACAACATATGCGACCCGATCAAACATGGACACCCATGTCTGTTTGCAGACGACGTCGAACTGGTCTACTCATTTCATCCAGACCAAGTACAAAAGTGCCTGGAAAGCAAAGCCCTGTCCGCATTAAAGATAGCTAGTGAATGATGTTCACCGCAGAGAAATACCAAGTACTTGAGTAAAGATGACGCATCCCAGAAGGCTCTATCACACTTGCCGGAAACGTGACCCCAATGTCTGATTCAGTTCGGAACTTAGGAATTAGGTACTCCAACACATACAATTTCTCCGAACATGTGCTTTATCAGATTGAAAAAGCAAGGCAACTATGCGGATATATTACCAGAACTTTCTCCCTACCTGAAGCATGACTTGAGTCATTCAAGCCAAAAGTACGACCGACTCTGGAATACTGTACTATCGTTCACAGCCAATTGATAAAGACAGAACGGCTTTGGAAAATGTCCAACTATCATTTACCAAGCTGGTCATGGGGCGCTGTTCAAACCTGACTTATTATGATCGCTACCAAAAACCCCAAATGAATCCGCTTTGGCTGAGACGCTTAAATGACAACCTCGTTCTCCTCAACAACATTAGAAACCAACGAATTTACGCAGACTGCACCGCAGTTGAACTACGGAAGACTGCAGTCTACCTCACATGTAATGGAGGCTATTTGCTACGCACAAAGCTTGCAACTCGTAAAACTCGATCGAATTTCTTCTTAGTGAGATACACTGATCTGTGGAACAAACTACTCCTACAGATACGTATAAGTGCAAGCTGTCACATTTCGAAATTTCCTACAGACCTTCCTCGCTATAACAAATGCTTTGAAGATATTAAACTCACAACAGACTCAAGAAATATTGACAGAAGCTAGTATAAAAAACATATGAGCAAATATTTGCTTACAACTAGCTTACCCACTTATGTCATTACTTACAATACCAAATCCTGTGTCTGTGCAGACTAGTATCCCCTCCCTATTATTATCTACTCCTGAGCCCCACAAATTAGAAAAGGATGA